CTTCTATGCCACCTACGAGCCGCTCACCTATAACAAGCAGCCATATCCCGCCTGGGCCTACGGTAATTCGAGAGATTCCCTACTCTGCTAACCTAATCCTCCACGCTCACACTCCTTTCTCCGCTTCCTTTCAGGCGTTGGCTGGACCATTACTGCCTTCGGCGTCATGCAGCTGCCCTTCTGGATGCTGGTTGCCATCATTCGCGAGCCGGGCAATACGTGGCGCGAGAAGATACGCGGCGCCTTCAAGCCGAAGAAGAATTGGGGACCCTCCGATCCGCTGCTCCGGGAGCAGTATAATAAGAAAATTGAACACGAGCTGACGCCCAAACGGGGCCAAGGCTTTTGGGCTAGCATTAAGCAGAATATACTTGGTTAAACTGTGAGATCTCTGGTTTTTTTTGTAAGAGTTGTGTGTAAATTAATGTAAAAAGTATTTTGCGATAATAACTTATAAGTGTGCCAATAAAATGTAACGAATTTATAAAAGATTTTATTAAATTTACTGAGATATATTTGAAATTCGACTATTCTTTTGAAGGAAAGAGAGCAGGAAATGAAAATCAGAAGGAAAGGAATGTTGTACGGAGAAGATTTGCTCGAAAATTAGAAGTATTATTTAATCCCACTTTTGAGAAACGGTTTTATTTCTTATATTATTTATCATACCCTTGCAGAGGGTATTATAATTCTGTCGTGAAATGTGTAACGCATAGAAGGAGACATCTTCGACCCCATAAAGTATATATATTCTTGATCAGTATTAACAGCCGAGTTGATATAGCCATGTCCGTCTGTCCGTCTGTCTGTTTCTATGCGAACTAGTCTCTCAGTTTTAAAGCTATCTTTATGAAACTTTGCAGAATTCCCTCTTTCTTTGTTGTACGCAGCTCATATAGTCAAAATCAGCTGGATCGGACCACTATATCATATAGCTGCCATAGGAACGATCGGTCGAAAAGTAGATTCTTGTATGAAAAACATTTTTGTTTAAAAAGTTATCTTGACTAAACTTTTTATTTATTAGTTTTACTACGCTCCCCATATATATGCCAAATCCTATTAAGATCGGACAACTATATCATATAGCTGCCATAGGAACGATCGGTCGGAAATTAAGTTTTTGTATGGACAATTTTTATGTTTTTCAAGATATCTTGACCAAACTCGGTATTTATTAGTTTTACTATGCTCCCTCCACTTATGCAAAATCTTATTCACATCGGGCTACTATATCATATAGCTGCCATAGGAACGATCGGTCGAAAATTATGCTGTTGTATGGAATTTTTTTTGTTTTTCAAGATATCTTGACCAAACTCGGCATTTATTAGTTTTACTATGCTCCCTCCACTTATGCAAAATCTTATTCACATCGGGCTACTATATCATATAGCTGCCATAGGAACGATCGGTCGAAAATTAAGTTGTTGTATATAAACCTGTTTTGTTTTTCATGATATCTTAACCATACTCGGCATTAACTATTTTCCCTGTGCTTCTTAGATACGGGCAAAGCACTATGAGCATTTTGAAAAGGTTGGGTCTGCAAGGGTATTAAATCTTCGGTGTGCCGAAGATAGCACTTCTTTCTCGTTTTTTATTCATTTAGAATATTCTAAAGAAATCATTTGAATCATTTATGTATCACGATCCGAACTTCTCACAAATAAAAAAAAACCGACCTTAGCAATATAATCTCTTACATAAAGGTTCTTAAAGGTTAATATAAAATCTATTGTTAAATTTTGATTTCCAAACAAATCCAAAATTTAGTTCCAAGTAACCTCTCATATTCATAAAAAAATATCCCATCGTAAGCAATATGATATATTGACCAAAGAATCTTCAGGATTCTTTAGCTTTTCCCATTTATAAACCAATTGAAACAATATTTAATTATTTATCCTGACACTGTAATATTTGGGTATATATTTTTCCACACGCTCTGAATCGAAAGACTCAATATTTTAAGAGCAACTTTTCAAACTCCAGCAATAGACAATTACTTCATATTAACTTTAAGGTTCTCAAATATCTAGCTCACATTTATTTGCCATGGCTACCTTCCCATCTAGCACCTAATCAGCTCACTTTTACTTGGCCTTGGTCGGGAAAAGCATTCACTAGCTTCATTTCCCACTCCCGCACTAAGCACTCGCCGTACATTTTTCCACTCTTGGCTGTTGGCCACAAATTGACCATCACATTGACAATTTGGAATTTGGCAAAATCCGTCCCTCGGTGAGGAGGAAAAAATCAAGAGAAATGTTGTGTGCTTTGTCTCCGTTACGTTTTCCAACTGCAAACAAAGACTGTGGAAAGCCGAAATACTTTGCGGGCGGCGACGCCATCTTCGAGATAATTGCTTTGATAAGGACACGCCGGACTCGGACTCGGACCCGGACCCGGACACGGACCGGGAAGGGGACTTGGACCAGAGCAGCGCTACGGTGAACATTTCTGGTTTTTTATTTTTTTATTTTATAAATGTCGCCAAATATTTACATGTCGCGGCATTGTAAAGCAACCCAACTTGGTTTTTTTTGTACCTTTTTTTTTTTTGGTTTTTTTTTTGCCCTATGCCCGCATTTGGCTTGCGGCTTGACTTTTTCCGACTGTCCGGCTTCCTGGCCGCGAACTGGGCCGTGTCCGGGATTCCGGATGGCGGCCGCGTTGCTGCAAAACCGCATAAAAGTCATTGTCACAGCAAATGGATTAATTTTCGCGGCACGTTGTCATATATGTTGCGCTCTCTCTCGCACTCGCGCGCTCCGACTCGCTCGCTCACTCGCTCAGCCGGCATTTCTATAAAGAAATTAAAAAGCACGGCCCGTGGTTACGAGTGGGCGGGCGCTGGCCGTAGGTTGCGGGGCGTGGCTGGCGTTTACCGCAACAATAATTACGTTTTGGCCGCTTTTTGGAAGCTGCACGGAAGTGTATAATGTTGCTAAGTAGTTGCGGTTATATCTTGTTGTTGTTGCTGTTCTTCTTCTGGTTTGTTTGTTTGTTTGTTTGTTTTTTTCATTATGTATATATTTTTTATTGTGTTTGGTTGCGTAATTATCATGAAAGGCAACAGGAGGTTTATTTCATGTAATAAATGCAACATAATTAAGTTTTCTGGCTGCGAAAAGCAACGAAAAAGGAAAATGCCGCTTAGTCGGCTCCCCTTTGTTATCATGTTTCTTGTTTATGTTAAGTTAGTTAAGGCATATTTTTGCAAATTAGCCAATGCAAATGAGAGTACAAATTTTTATTAACCTAAAAGGGGCATCATTTCATTTGGCAATTCAATAAAATAAATGTTTTGTATTTACATTTTCTACTCGATCGCACCTTAATGTTTTCTTATGTAGCATACATTCTGGGGCTACTAAATGACAATAATTATTCTAATGGGAAGCCATTGAATGGCTTTTACTTTTGAGCTGAAGTGTGAAAGAAAAGCCTGCAAATCGGCCGACATGTACAATTAGCTAAGTCATTTGGTCGGGACGCTGCTTTTTAAGTTTTACAATTTCAAAAATTGTCGAAGACGTTTTCCATTTTTTTGTTGCTAGTTTCAATCGGCTAACACGTTGCCAATCAGCAGAAAGTCCAGCAAACACAAACACCTAACACACACACACACAGACACGGCCACACTCATACATTCATATGAGTACACTCATGCTGGCAGAACAAATCCAAATAAAATTCTATTCAACTAAAAGCTAAAAAGCGCGCCAGCATAGAGAACGCTCAATGCGCGCTCTCTCCCTCTCTCTACTATACTGTGCCTCCCTTCTCTTTTACTATTTGCCTTCCTTCTTACTCTTTAGCGCCCACGCACGCATTTGTCTTGCATCAGCAGCGCGACCAAAAAAGGAAACAAAACAGAAAGTGTGCACAAAGCAAAGGAGACGCAAAAACGCAAACAGCTTCGATAGAGATGCGAGCGCATAAAAAACTATTGCACTCACATTAACTAGCGATAGTTGCATACTTAGATATGTTTTTGTTACAAAAAAAAAAATAAATTTATAAAAATAAATAGAGTACAAATTAAAGAATCTGATTTTTAATAAATAATTGTAATTAATGTTGGAAAAGATCAACTTATGTTAAACAAGTACGATCACGTTACCCGCTCGAGACTCGCTCTCCGAAGCAAGCAACCATCGTTCGAGAGAGTGCGACTAGCAGATGCCCTGTAACCAGGTTTAAAGAAAATAACTCTTTATATATTATTTTATTCTACTGTAATTATTTTTCCAGTATCTTTTTGGCAGAATAGCTGTCTACCGATATTTAAGCAAAATAGCTAATGTTGTTCATCTTAAAATACCCGCTATTTAATCACTTGTTTTCTACAGGGTAGAAAAAGATTGCAACTAAAAGCAAAACCAGCATGAAATGAAAGGCAGAAAATTTTGGGGATTTGCAAGAAAAGTTGCGCGCTCATGCAAAGAGCCGCAAATGTGTGCGGAGTGCAGATGGTCTAGGTGGGGTATATATGCTTTTTAGAGCCCAGTTTCTCCAATGGTTTTTCCACTTCTTTTTGGCGTACTGTGTTCTAGTGTGTGCCAGACATTCGCACACATCTTTTACTTGGCAATGTGAAAATTGTCTATGTAATTTAGTGTGGGTCGGGTGGGCGTATACGCGAATTTGTCTGATGCTTAGAAGAGCTGACAGGTGGCGCCACTATGCACGTCCATATTCTTTTCTTATCTCTGTCCAGCTGTGTATGTACGTATGTATTTCTTCTGCAGATGGCAGATGGCGTCCGTGCTTGTATATTTATGTGTGTGTGTGTGCGGCGGTCGAAGTGGTGAGCAAAAAATTAAGTAATTGAATTTTCATAGTGCCTGCATATAAAACCTAACTGCAATTGTATTTCTTGTTATTTGCAGTTGAGTGCTATGTTTTACAGTTTCTTCTCTTTGTGCCATGTATGTACATGTGTGCACAGTAAAGATAAGCTACATTTAACATTTTAATCTAAAATTATTTACCTGATGGGTTTTAGAGGTGAATTCTTTGAAGTAAAGCAGGTTTTATTTAGCGCGATCACGAATCACTGTAAACTTGACAAAACATCGCTCGGAATCTTAATAAAAAAATTAGCACTAAATAAAAATATACTACACTGTATTTATTTTGTTGCAATTGATTTGCACGTTTTGGTAAATAGATATTTAGGTTTATGTGAAGAAAGGCACGCGGTCATCTCTGTTCTGAAGTTTAATTCAAAATACAATCTTTATTTCCCAATTAGCAAACAATTTGCACCGGCTTGTCGCTAATTAGGCGCCCATCAAAGGCGACGCGTCGCGCGTCATCGATGCGTAACTTTAACCTTGTTCTGTGTTAACCTTTGGCCTTTCACCAGACACGCGTTAGCTTGCACACCCACCGAAAACAATTAAAAAAGGTGATGTCGACAAATAAGTCGAAAATTTGACGGCCTTAACAATCCTTTCGGGATGACTCAAATGAACAAACATCAAAACAAGAAGAAGAAGCTTCCAAGATTTATGTTGGTTAACAAGGTGTCATTGCCATTTCCATCGAAAGTGCCTGGATGATAAATTATTGTATATGCTCCCATGATCGAACAAGAGCTAATAAGAAAAATGCTCGTATGACGTCACAAGCTGCGTAAGAGTTGAACATTATTTTGCAATGGCAATAAATAAATAAAACATGTAACATTTTTGTGCTGCGCAGGAAAATCCGAAATTTTAAAGAATTAAATAGTTTAAATGCGTACAAAAACATAAAACAATTGCAAGAAGGTGTTTGCTATATGAACAATATGCAGCTAAGCTGCAGCCGAATGAGTCGTGCTTGTTGAGTGTGAGCTACATGCATATACATATGAATTCGCTGCGAATTTTTTTTTGTGTTTTTTTTTTTGGGCCATGCTGTGGCGGACGCCGCGTCTAAACGAAATCAGAAAAATGATCTTATGACGTCACGAGCTGTGTAAGATTTGAGCAAAAAATAGCAATGGCTGCGCTTAGTGCTGATCGTTTCGATAGCTTTGCTTGTTCGCGAATATACGCAGTAAGCAGAAATAAAAAAATTGTGTTGTGAAAAAACTGTCGAGATTTTAAAAGAAATATTTATTTTATTTAACACGGAAGCTTGCAACAATACAACAAGTGTATGTCTAAATATAAGCCGAGTTTTAGTCGGTTGAGACACAGGGCTGTAGTTTTTTTTTACGTGCCAACCAAATAAGAAAATTGTTTGTCTGACGTCACAAGGTGCTATTTCAAATCGATATTGATCTTATCGATAGTTCTGCTTGGTCCCGAATATACGCAACAAGCAAAATACACATAGAAAATTTGAGTGCTGTCGCTATTGTTAAAAAATAAAATTGTGAATCAATATGAAAGTTTATAAAAATGCAAAAGTGTTTGTCCAGTTGAGCTGCAGTCGGATAAGCTGTGCTTGTTCTGTGTTGGCTACGGACAAGTTGTTTTTTTTGTGGGCCCGCTGTAAGGCTAATAAGAAGAGCTAAGAATTCATATTAATTGTTTTGATACTCAATTTGCTCGCAAATACTCGCGATGTACAAAATGTTAATATAAGTTAATAAAACAATATTGTAATTATGTTAATGTTGTAAAAGTATTTATCATTTTAGTCAGTGAATTCAAAGTTTTCCAGACGCCAGCCAGACGAGCTGCAGCTGTTTGTTGCGCGTGTGTATGTGTGTGTTTTTTTTTCCTTTTCGCTTTGTGTTCGCACAAGAAAAGAACAATAAAGATAAAGAAACGGGATTAATATAAAATTATGTTAAAGCGAATCAAGGTAAGCTTTATTTGAAGTACATATTTCATAAATTTGATTGCTCACGTTTTTTTTTGTTTTTGGATGGCAAAGAGAAAATAGTTATCGAGCAGGAACGGGGTTTGCCGCAGCGTTTGTGGTGTGCCACAAGCGGATGTGCAACCCATGAATTCACCCACACTTTAATATTTGTGTGTGTGCGTAAATTCAGTTAAATGTTTATAAATAGGCTGCGGTCGTTGCTTAAATTTAGCAACGCACATTTTGGAATGATTTCCATTGCACGGAGCAAAACCGCTGCAAATTTTGGAAGTGGTTTTTGTCGATGGCCTCGGTTAATTTTGGGCAAAATATTTGAGAGGACTTGAACCTTAAAGTATTATTTAAAAACAATTTGAAATGTTTTTAAGTTAATTCTAAATTGCATAAACAAATGTATCTTAGTCCTTCCTTGCTTTTGTTTGTTTAAAAATTGTAGTTCAATAATAAATTCGGAAATTAGATCTCGTTCTTTTGCCTGATAAGCTCTTATATATTTATTAAAATAATTTATAATTAATCAAAAAATAGCCTTGTCTAGACTTTTTGAACAATTAGTTTAAAAATCCATGCCAAAATATTTTTTGGTTTCCTTCGACAAAATTGTTATAAATTTTGCACTGTTTACCACAGTTTGTATTTACACCGAATTTCTAGCTGCTCTATTAACTCATGGAGTATATTTTGAAAACGTAACAAACATTTTTTGTTGGGGTTTATGTGGCTTAATGCACAGCGCAAAAATTTACATTTCCCAAATATTTTATTTAATTCGCACGACTGTTTCAACAACAACAACAGCAACAGCAACAAAGTTTCAGTTCAAATTTTACAATTACATATTTAGCAAAAACGCAGAAGTCATTTGCCACACCCCACTGTGGCAATTGTGCCCACCTTTAGTCAAAAAGTTTCGGGCGGCACGCCCCTCGACTTTCGCGCAATGCTCCAGCTCCAGCTCCGGCTCCGGCTCCAGTCCAGGCCGCAAAACTAAACCAAACCAATGGCGACCACAGTGAAACAAATAACAGCAGCAGCGGCAACAGCAACAACTACATATATAACAACTGGCAATATCTGCAACATCTGTTTGAACAAATAACCAAAACAAGGATGCCAACGTGAAAGGGGGTCTGGGGGGGGGGGGGGGTGCGAGAGGGAAGAAAATGGGAACGTGAATGCGGACACCGACAGCGAACCAATTTCCGTTGCCTCTTTCAGGCCAAGTTATGTCTCCATTGGTGTCTGTCAGATTTGGTTGAATGTTTTGCCTGCTTTTTCCTGGCGTGAATTTCATTTAGCAGCTATATACGTACTGTCAGGTCTAACAGTGGTTAAATGGGCACTGATCAGCAAAATAGCGGAATGTGTTGTAAAATATTTAATATTTAATTTTAACTCTTAACTTTACTTGGTTATCAGAGTTTCTGGCAATAAAATGTAACCATTTAAATGGGGAATTAGTATAATATAAGATATGTATGCACACGTATATATACATATATACTATCTGGTACTACCCGGCCTTGCCCGTGGAACGTTTGTTCTAAAAATGTTAGATATTGCCTTTCCACTGGAAACACGCCCGTGGAAAATTTAAATCTACCCATCTTGTTCTCCACTTCTAATTAAAAATATGTTTTAAGTGCAATAAAGAACCAAGCATGGGAATCAACGGTTTCCGCCCATGTTAGTCTTGCGATGAGCTTGAAGATGAAGAATAAACCCTCGATTATTTAACCTTTGACCAGCACCCAAGAACGTATCACACAAATATTATAGAAAATGATTTTGACCCGATCGGATGGTAAACAAACAAATTTTTTCGATTTTTCCTCACATGCTGGTGGAATTTTCCGAAACCCCATCTCAACGTGCACCTTCATCTCAGTGACTCAGTAACTACATTGAAAATTTCAGCTTCCTAGGTCTTACGGTTTGGGCTGTGCGTTGATCACCAATCAGTCAGTCAATAAGTCAGTCAGTCAAGTCAAACGGTTTTATGTATAGAGATTTTATCGTTCAATAGTTGCCTCTATGTTATCGATAAATATTGAAATCAAACCTCAGTCTTTTAAGTAGATACCGAAGATTTAATTACTTGATTTATCGCCAGGACTTTGTTGCACAGTGTATTTAATAACGCAGAAAGTAGTTAGTTTTGTTGCTTTTGTTGCGCTGCATAAATTTTGTGACCTTGAGCAACTTTTTCGACCGCTTAAAATTCTCCAAAAGTTGACTTTCTCACTTTCCTCTTCTTCTGTTATGATATGAAATGGAATTTTGTGGCATAGATTTATTTTTACTAAAGGCATTTGGCAGCTGTTATTTTTGAGTCATGTTATGCCTGGGCGCAATTGTGTCTGCCCGAGCGAAATCTCATTTACGTTGTAATAACAAATGCCACACAAAATCAATTAAAATAATTTCCTGTTCAAAAAATTGTCAATGACAGTGCCAGCAGCAGCGCCATCTAGCGACAGCCAACCGCATTATACACCATTTGGAGCATCTGTTGCCGCCGTTGTCATTTTGCCACAGACCCAACCCCCCCTCCGCCCCCTTGCATCTACCCCCTGGCGCGTTCATTGTTGTTGTTTTACATTTCCGGTAATAAATATACATTTGAAAAATAATAGAGGAGTTCGCATCGGTTTGACTGGATGTTGTGCGGGGGTTGTGGTGGGTGGGGGGAGGGTTTTCGATGTGCCCGTTTGGCAAATTGCCGAATGAGGCGTGGGAAATTGGAAAATTCAAATTATGCGCCAGGTGAGAAACTTTGCGGCATTTCATTTCCTATGATTAATTAATTATAACACGCCGTGTGATGATAGCCTACAAAGTTGCAATACAATTCACAGAGCTGTCATTTTAATTTAAATGTGATTTTTGAAATTTTGCTGCATTGGATAATTAAGTTATTAGCGAGTTCCTTCGAGGATGATAATAGTTTGTTCAATTAACCTACTGTGGAAATTAACAATGTTATCAATTATGTAAGGAAAATGGATTATAATCTTTTAAGTTGGGATAGTTGTGTTCTAGACTCTACTTAGTAAAATTTTAAGATATTTCAAGTGCCTGATCTTTTTTCCTTGTTTAACATTTATTTACATATTAAAATAAGACTTATCATGAAGTCATGAAGATATTTAAAGTTCTTACTCTATTTTCTCAGTGTCAAATTACATAATTTAAAGGTTTTATTAAGATAAACTAATTATTCTATTAAGTTACAATATTTTTTTAAATATATGAAAAAAGA